CTCCTACACGATGATTCTGCCGCCGGGCGCCCGTCAGCGCCTGGCCATCACCTTCCAGCCCAAGGACGAGAGGAACTTCACTTCGCTGCTGGTGCTGCGGAACAACCTCACCGTCATTGACGTGGTGATGCTAAGGGGAGAGGGCGGCCGAGGGTTGCTGAAGCTCAACTCGAAGCTGCCCAACACTGACCACAGTCTGCTGCTGTTTGAGTTTACGGAGAAGCAGCTGGAGCGGAAGTGTCGCGTGGCAAATGCCGGCGGGCTCAAGGCGGGGGGTGCCTCGTCGACCGCCCTGGAGAAGGTGCCTTCAACGGTGGCCGGAACCGCCGTCACCACCACCATGAGCAGTCTGATGATCAGGCAGAAGTTTACGGTGGTGAACAGCGGTCGAATGAGCATGCAGATTCGAAGCTTCCTCATTGACGGGCTGCCCTGTGAGGGCCACGGCTTCCACATCAGCCACTGTGATCCGCAGTTTCTCACGCCCAACCAGTCCTTTGACATTGAGATGGTCTACTCGCCGGACTTTACCACGCCCTACGTCAGCCACGAGCTGACTGTGCTCGTAGACGATGACGTCTTCCCCGGCGGGCAGAAGTACCAGTTGATTGCGAAGATTCCGCAGAAATACCTGCGACAGTGTCTGGAGCTGCTGCCGCGGCCCCTCTGGGAGAACGTCATCTACTACATGCTCGTCACCATGGCCCTCTTTGTGCTCTTTCTCTCCATTGTGGTGGCCATCAGTGATGCGCACCGCATTACCTCCTACTACGAGATGGAGAACAGTCAGGACGATTTGTACAATCAGATGATGGAGGAGAAGCAACCTGAGGAAGGAGCATCCACTAGCAATGGAACTCTAGCCAACAGCCATTCAAACGGCTCAGTGCCACGCAAGTCCACTGATAATGGGCATGCGAATGGAACAACCTCTAACGGAAAGGCAGGTCAAAGTCATCATCAACAGCAGCAACAACAGCAGTCGACAAAGTTTCGCAATCGAAAGGGAAACAAAGGCTCAAATGGAAACAGCGGTGGCAACAGTAATAACAGCAGCAATAGCACCAACTCGGGCAAGTCCTCATTCAGACCGTCCAACTTGATACCGGCGGTGAGCAGCAATGCCAGCAAACAACATGAGCATCCCTCAACATCCTCGGCCAGTCGGCATGACGACGAGCTGAACAATGGTGATAAAACGGGTGACTGGACAAATACTACTCTGCAGAGTAGGAAGAAGGCGCTGATTCGACAGGATTCCAACTCGAGCGAGCACAGTCAGCGGTCCACGGACACGTCCACATCGACCTCCTCCAGTCGGAACAATATTGACAAATCGGATGGTGTCAGCGATTTGATGAAGGACCGCTCGCGCAAGTCGGCCACCGATTCATCCACCGAGGCCTTACAACAAGGAGGAGGAGGAGGAGGGACCTCCTCTGCCAAATTATCGATCTCAAACGATGCCAAACAGCTTAAGGGAGGAAAGGCAGATCAAGTACTGGACAGCAAAAAGGCGAACAAGAAGGGAGGCAGCAACAACAACAGCTCAAAGGCTGCCAGTGGAAAGGCAGGAGGCAAAGGAAGCGACAAGTCCTCCTCGTCGAAGCTACTGGAGAAGACGGCCAGCGTTGACGGCGGCACTTCCACCAAATCATCCTCCGAATCATTAAACTTCATACCGAATATCGACTCTGGCAACAACGCTGCTACCAAGGCGAGATCGGCCACCCTGCCACTGACTTCAAAAGGAGCCCCCGGTGGTGGTGGTGGTGGTCAGCCGGAAAACGTCTCTATCTCTCAGTCCGATATGTCTGGTGGTGGTCATCACTTTGATATGCTGAATGGTCGAGCGGGCTACAATGTCGTCGTCACCAAGTCACAAACAAGGCAGCAGCAACAGCAGCAGCAGCTGCTTCAGCTGCAGCAATTACAGCAACAGTCATCATCTTCATCAGGCCACAACAAGCAGCAGCAGCCAACAACGGTGCTGGGAAAACAGTCGCAGTTCGATTTATCTGCTGTTGGCAGTAATAACAGCAGTAAGAGCAACGTCATCTCAAAGCTCTTTCCCGACGTCAGTTCAGTTGCCTACAACAACAGCAGTAACATCGCCCCCAGTCAGCTTTACTTTGACATGGCTCAGCCGAACAACAACAGTAGCAGCAGAGATATTTGGGACTCGCCCATTACATCATTTGATTCGGGTAATGCTTAGTTTGTGTGATGTACATTTTCCCTCGGTCATTCTAACATACTTTTGATGCACTTTTTCTACAGAATTAGCCATGAACATGATTGTCAAACAAACGGAAGCCTTTGCCACCAACGATCCGGACACCGGCAAGTTTGGAAGCGCTTCAAACAGCAGCCAACTGTACCCTCGTCAACTGCTGGGTCAGGCGGGTTTGGCTAATCGCAAGGTCATCGCCCCGCCGCCAGGCTTGCCCATACCGGCGGCACACCAGCGACACGACTCGGGAAGCTCAAACTCCAACAACTCGGCAAACATGACGCGTTTCAGCGAGGACAAGTGGGAGATTGGCGAGTGGAGCAATGAGCTGGCAAATGCCAACGCAAGAGCCGCCCTTAAGTCGCGAACTATTGGAACGGTGCAGCAGCTGCCGCAGCCCATTGGCGATCTGAAGTTTGGCGCCAACAGCAGCGCCTCCAACAGCTACTTCTCCACGGGGGATCCCATTCGCGACCTGCAGTTTCAGCAGGCGGCCGCCAAGTCGCGCAACTTTAGCCGCCTGGGCATCAAGGACTTTGAAGGCGGACGACCCGGCGGCGGCAGTATGGCCAACAGCTTTGGCCGAACAGCAGCCAACAGCGGTGGAGGGGGCGGCGGCGGCAGTGGCAATGCCAGCCCCAGCATCGCAGTCGGCGGCGGCAGCAGCTTCAAAAGCGCCTTCCCAGTGGGCCACCCGCTGGGCTCCGTCATCGGCTCGATACCTTCTGCTCCGGGCAGCGCCCTGGTCGGCGCCAACCACTCCTCAACCCACTCTAGTCTGGCCTCATCGACGACGCTCTCCTCCTCCTCGTCACTCTCCTCCACCTTCTCACCGGTCATTGGCCGCCCTAACCCACCACAACCAACTGCTGCTGCTGTCGGACACTCGTTCAGCGCCGCTTCCTCCTCTTCGGTGTCCTCATCGGCGAAGACGACGGGCACCACCTCTCGGCTGTTTGGCAGCACCAGCAGCAGCAGCAATGGATCTCAGGCGTCGGCGAGCTTCTCCGACGCTTTTAACGCCATCCCCTCGCCCCTGGACGCCAACTTTTCGCTCAAGTCGAGCCTTCTCTCCGACATTGACTGTTGGAGCATGCAGCCGACGAGCGGCGGAAATAGCAGCAGTGGCAGTGTTGGCCACCACCACCACCACCACCAGTCGTCGTCCACTCTGAACGACAACAAGCTCAACTCGCTGTTCTCCAGCTGGAACGCCGCCCCCACCACCTCGGCAATCGGCGACGGATTGAAGAAGAAGAAGGCCACTTCTATCGACTCGCCCACTAACATCTTTGACTTTGGCGGCCCCTCTGACCCGTCCTCTGTCTGGGGCTCCTCCTCCTCGCCAACCTCCAACTGGGCCACCTTCGATAAGGCGCCGCAGAAGCAGAGCAGCAAGGCGATGGACAATTCTGGCGACAACAAGGCGGCGGCAGCTGCTGCCAACTGGCCCTCGCCGCCGAGCAGCGCCGGCGCCTTTGAGACCGCTGCCAGCCGCGCTAGTGTCTCCTCGGCAGGCAACGGCGAAAACCGCTCCTGGTCACCGTTCGACGATTACCGCCGCCTCAACCCGAGTCCATCATCGGGGCTCTTTGAGCCGATCTCTTCTTCAGCCGCGACCTCCTCTTCGGCGGTGGCTGCCGCCGCTGGCGATGTATCTGATCACGCTGCCCGAAATGTCATCTTTGAACCGAGCAGCTCGGTCTTTGAGCTGTTTGGCGGCAAGTCGCCCTGGTCTCCGCTTGGCTCTCCCTATCCCTTGGGCGGCTCCGCCACCGCCTCTAAGAACTCCTCTGACACCCCTGCAGTGATCGGAGCTGAACGAAACTTCCCACCGAACCCCTCTCCCACCTTGTCACACAAGTCGAGCTCCTCCAACCACTCGAGCTCCAACCACTCATCTAACTAGCCACTAGGGTAACAGATGTCACAGCAATAACCTACAACAACCTCCACCACCACCACATTTTCTTTTGCAAAATTGCCTCTAGAGAGGAGGGAAAGTCAAGTGTGATTTTTCGGCTCGAGAATTTCTAAAAACTGATTTAAATTACTCTCTCATTGACTACCCCTTCTCTACATTTTAATTTCTCTCTTCTTCCTTTATACTCAGCACACTCTCTCCTTCAATCTCAATCAATCTCTCAAAAATAGTCACAACCCTTCATCTATCCCCTTCTTTCTTTCTGTTAGATAGTTTGCTTCATCAATCACATTGCCTTTCACTTAGTGAACTCCTTCCTTCTCTCTTTCTCTCTACTTTAGGTGACACACTTAGCTTGCTCACTCTTTTTATTTCGCAAAACACTCTGTAGTTATAAGTTGAGTTAGAGACAACTTTTACTTTTTTGCTTCTTCACCTTTTATGAATAGACACCTTCTTTTTCTTTCCTCAACACTTAACCACACACACACACAATTTCCGTTTTTACTCGGCAAACTTAGCAGCCACTGCTCACTAAATTCTCCTCAACACACTGACACTTGGATGAATCTTCTCTATCTCTCTTCAAACTCTGTGACTCTCAACACTGGTTTCGGCGGTGCGGAAAACGACCACGGTCGTCAACACTACCCACACACTTAACAACTCTGATGTCAACAACGCTGCCACTGTACTACAACGACGACAACAACAACAACATCAAAGCGACACTGATGATGGTACTTTATTTTGACAAAAGTGAAATAAAGAAAATGGGCTGTCTTCTCAATCAATCAGAAAGACAACAACACTGAAATCATCACACTCTTTTGTCTCACTTGTTTACACGTCCGCTTCCTCAATTGAGCTGAGTAGCTTGGCCGATTGCTCTTCCGCCACTCGAATGAGGGCCTCCACTTTGGGGGCGATCTGTGCAAATGAAGCGGTAAAGTGGGTAAAAGGAAAGGTCAGCTTTTCAGCCTCACATCTTTCACTTACCTCTTCCCTCAGGTGAACTGCCTCCTTGAGCTTCAAGTTGATGCGCACATTGTAGGCACCGGCGTAGACGGCCGTCCGCAGACACTGCACCGCCACCTGCAGGTCGCTGGTGGTCGGCCGGTGGTAGACGGGCACCAGGCGCTCCAGCACCGGCCACAGCTTCGTCACCTCCTCCATCAGACTGAGCGGCACGGAGATGGCCTTGCGCAGGCCACTCTCCATGGCCGCCTGTCTGGCCGCCCGTTCCGCCTCGGTAGTTCCCTCGGGCAGCTTCACCGCCAGGCCGTACTCGGTGAAGGCGTCGGTGTCCTCGTCGGCCAGCGCCAGCAGCCGCTCCACGGTGTGGTGCAGCGGGGGAATCAGCGTGCGCATGAGGCTGTCCGTCGACTCGAAGGCCTTCTTCCCGTAGGACAGCTTGCCCACCATTGCCGCTAGGCCGCACTAAGGAAGAAAGTTCTTGATTGAAAGGAGGAGAGATTTCACAAATCAGCACATTTAACTTACACCGAGAGCGCCGACACAGGCGCCGACAGTGCCGCCGCCCGGAGCGGCCGTCCGGTCGGCGACCATTCGCGTGAACTTGGCCACCGTCTGATTGACCAGCTTCGTCGGACCATCCTCCCCCTCCTCCTTGATCATGTACTCGATGACCCGCTTGGCAGGGTCAAAGGGCGCCAGTGAGCTGAGGCCCAGCCGACTGACCGCCAGGTGGATCTTCTGGTCCTCCTCGAGGACGAAGAGCGACTCGCGGGCGGTGTAGTGGGCGGCCACGTCGAGCAGGGCCTGGCGGGGCACCAGGCCGACCACCTCGGAGCCGGTGACGGGCAGGCGGAGGGCGGCCGCCTCCTTGAGCACCTCCTCGTAGACGGTGTGCACTGCGGTCTGTTCGTGGTCCAGTATGTTCACCGTCACCTGGGCGATGTTCGCCTCCGCCAGGTACCAGCCCATGGCCTGCGTCGCCGGCAGACGCCCTGGCTGGCCGTTCGCCTTGGTCGCCCTGATGGCCAGCGCAATGCGGTGGGCCTGCTCCTTTGTGGCGATCAGGTTGACGTTGTAGGCGATGAGGAACTTGCGTGCGCCCACGATGGTGGCGCCCCAGCGAGGCACAAAGGCAGTTGGGCCGTAATCGGGCGCCCATTTAGGGTCTTTTAGGCTGAGGGGAAAGGGAGAAGAAAGATTGTGTGATATTTTGTTACAAACTCGGCATCACTTACCGCCCCTCTAGTGCTTCGTACTCTCCGGCGCGAATTTGCGGCACCTCTTTGCTGTTCGAAAAAGTTGGCAGAGGTTGAATGAATTCGAAAAGAAAACTGACTCTACAGCACTTACCGATACTCCTGCTTGGAGGCGTATCCGTAGAGAAAGACGGGCACGTGCAGCTCCTCGGCGAGCCGCCCAGCAAAGAGGTGTGCACAGCGGACACAGTCCTCCATGGTCACGCCGCCGCTCACCGGAATGAACGGACAGACGTCCAGGGCACCCAGGCGCTTGTGTTCGCCCTTGTGTTTGGCCATGTCGATCAGGCGAGCGGCCACCCGGGCGCCGGCCAGGGCGCCCTCCACCACCGCCTCCGGCGAGCCGACAAAGGTGTAGACGGTGCGATTCGTAGAGGCGCCCGCGTCCACGTCCAGCAGGGAGACACCAGCAGTGGCCCTGATTGCAGAGGCGATGGCCTCGATTACCTGTGATTGGTGTTTTAGTCAAGTCGAAGTTAATAATTTCAGCTTTGTCAACTGTTGTTACCTCTCGATCTTTGCCCTCTGAGAAGTTGGGAACGCATTCGACAATCTTCCGTTGGCTTCCCATCTTCTCGCTGAATCTCTGCTGATGATGCTGCGTTTTGTTTGAGCTGTTCGGTGCATCTCCGATGTGTTTGACTTTATGGCTCTGACTTTTATAGACTTTCCACTTTTCTCTTATCCCGTCTGATCAGTTTTGAGGCGCATTTTTTGCTGCCTGCTGCGATGCCTATCAAGCTGGCTGGAGGCTATCGGTGATAGTGTGGCAACAGCTTCTTCAGCTGCTGCTGCTGCTTTCTTTCTTTCTCTTCTTCGGTGACCTTGGCAACGAGATGCATGGCTGTGTGTTTGGCGTGCATTAGTTCGATTCGGAAAATACCCTCCGCCAATCAGAAAGTGAAGNGTGTGTTTGGCGTGCATTAGTTCGATTCGGAAAATACCCTCCGCCAATCACAAAGTGACAAAACTAGTTGCCCACAAGAATTAGCAGTACTGCATCAGGTTATTGATGCGTGATCACAGTGTGTCAATTGAACTGGTCTTTATTGGGTGTGTGTGTTTCAATCAGGATGTGTGAGGGTGATTGAAACACTTTACCTGTGGTTTAATAAGTTTGATACTCGAGAACAACAGAGAGAGTGTGTAAGTGTCTGTGAAACAACAATCGAGAGTAGAAAAGAGGTGGAAGATTGGAAGAGGCGTCTGGTAAAGTTCAGTGGTGTAAAACATTCAACAACAAAACGGTTGAAGACATATTGGTAATATAATAAATATATATTATTTGCGTTTTAATTGTTTAAAAGTGCATACTCGAATGTGTGAATGTGTGGGTGTGATTGTGTGAGAAGTAAGAAAGGGATTGTAGGTAATAAGAAGAATAACAGGACAGAAGTGGCGCCGGGAAGGGGGCACTGCACTGGCATCACTGGTCGGACTGGTCCCCCGAGGCTGAGGAGGTGGAGGTGAAGGTGGAAGAGAAGGAGTAAATTAATAATAGTAGAATATATATTGGATTGAATAAGAGAGAGAGCGAGAGAGAGAGAGATAATAATTACACAAACACAGGTGATATGAAAAATGAAAAGGGCTAGCAATTTGGAAAAAGGGGACTAAAGAGGAGTGATGGGTGACGATGTGTGTGTGGGTGTGTATGTGTTGAAGGTGTGGTGAATGACTGGCGATGAGACGATAATGCATGTCTTGCTGGGTGTGTGCTGTGCTGGATGTGTGTGAAGGTGTGTGGTGGTGGTGGTGATTGATTGAAAGGCCATTTGATAAAGAGAAGAGGAAGGTCAAGAAGAAACAGTGCTGCTTCTGCCCACACCCCTGCCCTCACTGATCGACGCTGAGTGACCAGGCATTGGTGGAGTGCAGCGGCGCGTAGCTGACCAGGGAGGTGGCACCGGAGGAGCTGACCAGGGCGGTCACCGGCGCAGAGACCGTCGGCAGGGAAATGGAGGCGATCGAGGAGACGATGGAGCTGGGCGGCACCGGGCCCATATGGGCCACCGGAGTGCCCACCACCGCAGTGCCCGGCGGCGGCGGCGGCGGAGGCACCGAGACGACGCACGGCTGCGCCTGACTGAGCTGACTGAGCGACTGGGTCAGCTGACTGGCCGACAGACTGCTCAGGCCGACGGCGGTGGCCGCCGCCGAGGACTGCGGCGGCTGGAGGGAGGCGACGCTGGTGGCGGTGGCCACGGCGACGGC